GAATACCGCCCATAGACTGCATTCGAGGAAACGTTCTATTAACCGTGATATATCGCGCGACTTATATATTTGTGTCATTCATCTTTATCGCTCATTAAACCTGAAACAAGGATAGCATATCGCGTTAATAGCGTCTTTCCGAACGGATCCATGAAAGTGCGGCAAAATGCAACGAGTGACATTGCTGCGGTGACGACGCATGAAGTTAGCCGCGCAAGTTTCGGATCCTCCCCCCTCCCCCCCCCTCGTCGCGCCGTTCGAGATTCTACCATCACGCCATTACACCATTACGCGGGTACGTGAGAATTGTGACTTGTGATGTACGACTAAATCGTAGTTTTGTTTGTAATTACGTACATTTCTCGTGCCGTGTTCTTCCTCTGTAATGCAACGAAATGCGTATGATATGATCACGTATACGCAATCAACGTCGGCAGCAGTGATCGGTGGATGCATTCCATTTGATGATACAAATCGGCTCAAATGTCGTTGTATACACTGAGAAAAAAAATATAGTTAATTTTAATAAATATTTAGTTTAATACTGCCGAAAACTTACGGTAAATGAATATTTGTTCAATAAAAAAATGATTGTTAAATTAACATTTCTTGTATCAAATAAATATTTATATCTTTATATTTAATAAATATTTAATTGGCAGTATTTCAACTTAATAAACATTTATTAAAATTGACTATATTTTTTTTCAGTGTAGGTATGTTTGTTACTCACTAGAATGTCAAGAAAAATGTTTGACTGATGTTTGGGTTGACTTGTGTTACTAAATAGAAAGTACCCAGTGTTGCCAGGATTGCCAGATTACAGATGCAATAACTTAACAATACATTTGCAACAAATGGATGGAGTACGATGGCAATACGCATCAAGACGCCTCGTTATGTGCGATTTTGCCGTTTTGATGTATATGTGTACATGTCGCATATATGTATTCTATAAATGTATTCTTTTCACACGCTGTAAACGTGCTACAGTGGTCTGCAATTTGACGTCGGTTGAGAATCGGGAGTGCCATGTCAAAGAGTCGGACGATTGTCGTTTAACTAACGATTAACATGCTCACCTAACCTCATTTTCGCGATAGTGTTGTGTGAGAACAACGTAGAGCTGAGAGGGGGAGGAGGCTTAGGAGGCATCAGGCGACGACGAAGCGACTGTGAGGTGAATAAATTATGTCTTACCTGCAAAATTAATCTTACCATGATGGCTCAATTCATGTCAATTGCTTTTCATTTACATCAAAACTCAAATAATTCTCATTTTTCTGACGTCATAACTCACTTGAATGTACGTACCTTTTTATTGTGACAAATGAGATTCAACTAGAGTTTTTATCTGCGATCTATTCAAGTTCAAGACCATGTGCTTTACAGAATCTTGTTAACTCATATTAAAAATGAGGTTAAATCTATGTTGTTATTACTTTGTCGCAAAGTAAGTATATAATGATAGTATGAGTATAAAATAGTCACACAACTTTAGATAGTATTATTTGTATGAAAATGGAAAGCAACTAGTAATCTCCGTGTATCTCCTAGTGAACATTTTTCTCAAGAGTTTTTATATAAATTCAGACACTTTTCAAAAATATAGAGTCTACATTTTTTTTCGTAAATATTTCAAAAAATACTTTTAACTTTTTTAGATTTTATAAGATTTTATTAGAAATTATAAAATGAAAATATTCTTAGAATATTTTAAAATCCATATACAAGGATCGTCCATATGAAGGATTCTAGAAAAGATGTGTAGACTTTCTGATATTTTTCCAAAGAATTCCAATTTGTTGGAGTTAAAAAAATCTGAAAAATTTGTTGAAAAGATGTAAAATTAATCAGAAATTTTAAAAAATTCTGAGAATTTTCGTCAAGGTTATTTTTGGACCCCATTATGCGATATAAAACATATGAAATGTTTAATATAATTATATTTGTCATAAATATTTATATGTGTAAATCTAAAATATTTATATATATATATAATTTTATTTATATATGAATTTTATTATCAAATTTTATAAAAGTTTATGTTCAAAAAATTTTTTTATTAGACATTAAAAAAAATTCAACACATCAGTAAATTCAGTAACACAATAATTATTTTGTTACATTTAATTATTTTAGTTACACTATAATTTGTGAATATATTTATATTTTTCAGATCAACTTGTGTACCACAACTCCGTTGCTGCGCATCGTATATATCTCGGTGAGTCCTAAATTCATTATAATTTTAAAGTCATGGAGTTAAATTATAATAAAAATTTATCTATAAATTATAATATTATATAACTATTAATTTATTATGCGTACAAGAATACACACACATGACACTCTTAAAATAGAATTTATTAACATGCACTATTAATGAATTAAGTTATTTATAGACATCTTATTATCACAAGATCTTTATTGTGACAAAATATTAGTTATACAAAATACACAAAAGTTTATGGGGTATGTACGAACTCGTAAGTATAAGCAGACATTTATAATGATATTTAAATTGGCTGTCAAATATATTATAATTGATTAAATTTTCGAGTTAAAATAATATTCACATAAGTAGTAATAAAAAAAAATGTAGTAATATTTTTAAAATATAAATCTTATATTTTATTTCTTTTTTTCATAATCTTGAAATTAATTTCTATAAGATATTCATATTGAGGTTTATCTCCATCGTCGGAATACAATCTATGATTTTATTTTAATTTTTTCTACTATCCATTAATATTTATTGATGCAATAAAAGAATATGGGAATCGTGATATTGATAAAAATACTTTATCGTGAGATAGGAGAATTTTTTATATAGTTTATTTCAAAGTTAATTAAGTTACATGCCGAATGTATTATGAAAATTACTTGGGATATTGAAATAATATTCCTAAAGTAAGTTCTGAATGACAAATTATTCGGATGATATTAATAGTATAATAACGAAAGATATTTATTCAACATGAAAATGTATATACATCAAGAACATGAAAGATTTATGATAACAATACTAATCATGCAAGATACGCATTTAAATCTCACATTATGGCTCATTAGATTTACAATGAACAATTGTCTCGAAAACATTAAGAAAAAAAAAAGATTAGAAAATTGTTTATTTTTTTTTCAAATTAATGTGTAAATTTACAGTTTATTAGATTAATGTTTATCTAAATAGTGATAAAAGAAAAAAAATTAATTAAAATATAATATTTTTTAAATACCTAAATAACTTTTATTTAATTCTATTTCTTTCATAATCTTTCAAAGGAAACATGAATTTCTGAGAGTTTAGTGCAATTGAAAAGAATTTTTTAAATGAATCTTTGTACGCTATGTATACAGAAGCATGCCAGAGATAAGTTTATTTTCGCGAAGATGTATCGTATGTCCCTTCACTCCGTCCGTCCCTTCTATTATCATAATGCGAATAGAATTACCATGCTTGCATATGGCGTATTATACGAAGTCGCGAGCAAATATGTCGATTGCCTTCAGGGACACGTTTACCCTTTATCCTGTTAGCAGCGGGAGGAATGTCGGTGCGAGACGCTCTTCGTTGGCAGGATTCTCACGATGCCGCACCACCGCCTCGAAGATCCCGATCAGTCTCGGTTCCATTAAAACGAGTCGGCGGCGAACGACAAAAGAACTCGTGGTCGTCCGTTGCGCGAAATACCATGCAATTTCGTGGCGAGTCACTTGCCGATCCTTTTTCCCTCCCGCGTCCTTAGGCGAATATTACCTTTCGGCCGAAGGTACAGAGCGACGATAAGCAGTTTTCCGTGGAAATTGCGTTCTTACTCCGTAATAACGCGTCGTCGTACTCTGTGATGATATAAATTTAGGCTGTACATGCATATAATCGTTTGCTAATCGTTCACACGAGACACTCTATAACAGAATCTAGCCACCAGCAATTTTGTCAAAAAGAATGAGAAATAAGGGTGTACATACACTTATACTGTTTCTTTTTATATAGTTGTTTCATTCTAACATACTGAAGTTGACAAAAATGACAGGCCAATCAAAGGTTTATCATATGATTAGACTCTGTTATATAGGAAAGATTTTCCTGAAGTAAATCTAAATATGTATTTATCTAGATACAAATTTGAAAATAATAATTTTCTTGAAATGTCAAAATAATTATATAGGACGCTCAAGCATGATGATTGATGATGCTGCAAAAAGTTTTGGCATTCTAGCAACCAACTTGAGATTCTAATAATTCTGTAATTCTATAATTATTTTGATGATGTAACAAAATTATTTTCAGATCAATATCCAGTTACATTTTTAGATATTTCAGCAAAATCATTCTTTTTGTGAACTCTCAAATATAAGATCAATTATGGATGCTTTCTATTTTGTAAGTCGATAGTTACAAACATCGATTTGTCTTTCTTGCTATGAACATAACAAGGACAGAACGATATTTATGTTACTAAAATGAAAACACCCTGTTTCAATCATGTATTTAATCGAAAAGGCGATAATAGTAGCGATAATTACTTTGTATAAAGTCACTATTATGACTGCATCTTATCTTTAATATTTGTTCAAAATGTCAGTAATGACACTAATTATCCATATTCTTTAAACGAAATCATTAACCTATCGACAAAATGGCATTATAACTTTATGTTGAAGTGTAAATTACTGATTAAAAACACAAGTAGCTGAATTATATGTCTGCGATACATCATAAATATAATATAATTTTATGTCGATGTGTATTAATTAACGATTGGAAACACAAGTAAGTTTATTTAATTATACGTCCTCGATACATCATTATAAATATAATGATCATGGAGTATAAATTAAAAACTACCTATGAATATAAATTGAATATAAAAACATTTTGATGACAACATTTAACATAATAACTTGCGATTTAGACATCGCTTTATGTTCTTATCTTCGTCATTATACGATCAGGGGGCACGATATTTGGCAGTTTATTGTCGTGATTTATGGGAAAAGAATCGACCGGCAAAAGCTATAAAGAATATATTATTATTATCCTTACATTCCTAACATAGATAACGTCTTCAGGATACGTCGATATTTTATCGATAACACAATAATATAGCGAAATTATCCGGGGATGGCATTAGCGTAGCATTGTCGTAACAAAATATCCGAGTAGCATTATCGACGTAACATTGTAGAAGTTATAAGTCGTCGGGGAATAGGCAAGAATAATCATGGACTAAGTGGAAAATGGCGTCACGAAGGAGTTATACACGGAGCTGGAGAAGAAATGGGCGAGAAGAAGAGGAGGAGGAGGAGGAGGAGGAAGACGAGAAGCGACCAGCGGAGGAATAGGACTGAAGGAGAAGAAAGAGAGGGGGCAGAGGAAGTGAAGCGAATTAGCGAAGGTATACGACCGAAAAGGAGGCCACGATCGTTCGAGTAAACAAGTGTCTTGGCCGCGGCTCGAGAGACCAGTTCCACCTTCCTTCTCTTCCTCCTCCTCCTCCTCCTCCTTCTCGTCTTTCTTCTCCTTGTCTTTTCTCCAAGTTCTGTCGCCGTGGCCTTTAACGCGTACGCGAGAGGTAATCGGCTCCAGAATTACAAGCGTTACCATTCCGGATACTGCGATGTCCGTTGATCGCGACGCGGAATTGTCGCGATATGAAATGGATATGCGAGACAAAGTCGGAGGCTACTTCTTGTCAAAGAAGCCAGTCGTGCGAGACACGAAGCAGCGAATTCGGTGCTCCTCGAAATCACGGTGCTTCACGATCGCGAGAAAAATCGGTGTGGCAAAGCTTCTATCGTCTGGACGCGAAAAATTGTATAATAAATTAGGCTTGCCGCACAAAACTGGAAATCAGGGAATTGTCCGGGAATTTTGCAAAATTCTAGAAAATAAAAATCCTTAACTTTAAAGAAATTTAATGTATATCACATAATTTTGAAATATACTTAATATACTTAATAATTAAACTTAATAGTTAAATATGCGAGTCAGCAACATTAATAATAATTTACATCGCTATATTAAATTGACTTCTAAACAAAATATTTAATGGTTTCCAAAGGACGAAAATACAAAAAAAAAAAAAATTCAAAATATTCAAAAGACATTTAAAAATATGATTAAAAGTTAGTGAAAATCAAGCAAAATTTTGTCTGGAAATCAGGAAAAAGTTCTGGAATTTTTAGATGAGGATTTGTAACAACTAAATTACACATATTTCTTTTATTCTCGCTACACTACTGCCCGAATAAAAGAGAAAAAGATTCGCGCTAGGGCATAGTATATTTGCTAAAAAGATTTTCAACCGAGATTTGAATTTTATAAAATACAATGACTCAACGCGCTGATAGTATGACAACCGCGAATGCAAAAATCGCAATGTGATTCATCTAACAGCTGTTATGAATTCAAGATTGAAGCGGTAAATCAAAACATCGAGTGGTTATTTATGCAATATTGCATCACAGAGCGATAGTAAGAAACAGCTTGATGTGATTTACGATATTTATAAAGTTATTCGCGGCTTCCTTTAATGTATATAATAAGCGGACTTTTTCAATAGATAATACTTGATCTTTTCTTTCGGTCCAATAACATATGAGGGAATATATATTTAACGGTTAGTTAATAATCGACCCGCTCTTAACCCCCGTTACACGTTACAATCCAGGATTGAGTCCTGCCGAGGTCAAGCAAGGAGGATTATAGAATTGAATCATCCGGCTAATGAAAGTTTTCATGCGCAGTAACCTCGGCGTGAAAAACAGAAAAACACGAAACGTCTAAGCTGTACGTGGTTCAGTGTAGTTACATTTCTTGATTCTTTGTGTCAAACGTGATATCTCTTTCTCTCCTTTTCTCTCTTTCTCCCTCCCTCTTGTTATAGTTCAACTTTGTCCATGTCATTAAGTATTCTGTTTTCCAATTTTAATTTTTTCTATTTTTATATGTTGTTTTCTTTGTCTTTATTTTTCTAATTTTATTGTATGTATTTGCTTTCAATTATTCTTATTTTGCTCAATAAGGTATTGCTTTTAGCGCTCGAGAGAGAATCCGATTCTAGAGCATTTAATAACTAACGATCTCTCTCTCTCTCTCTCTCTCTCTCTCTCTCTCTCTCTCTCTCTCGCTCTCGCTCTCGCTCTCTTTCTCTCTCACTCACTCAAGATCAAGGCTTCGTGATATTAGCGTGATTACCGCATAAGAAAACAATCTGGGTTAGTGCGGAGCATGTGTACATGTCACGCGCGCGAAAACGATGTGTATGTTGATGCGTGCATGCATGATGCGCGTGTGTGTTACAGGTCGTGCATGTGGTTTCCGCGGTAGATATATTCGTGTGTGTGTGTGTGTGTGTGTGTGTGTGTGTGTGTGTGTGTGTGTGTGTGTGTGTGCGTGCGTGCGTGCGTGCGTGCGTGTATGTGTATGTGTTACATACGGCCATCCGAATGCCGATACCGCTCGATCAGATCGAACGGCCAGCCGATCGAGTCTCGGCCATGTGAGTCAGTAAGACGTTTGCTCCGCATGCCACACCCGCAATGCATTGTGTGGATTCCGTTTGTCGTGGCACACGGTGCAACGAGCGACGTGTTCTTTAAGATTCCAATGCCAATTTTTCCTGCAAGGTGAAAGGTATCACCTTGCGATAAAGCGCTCCTTTGATAGTTATTAATTTTGTAAAATTAACTTTGTCTTGAATTTTTGACTGAAAGATATTTTTTTCGCGAAATTAATTTTAGCTTCGCTTTTTTTCGCTCCTTCATATAATTCTTCAATGATAGTAAATAATAATAATAGTAATAATAAAAAATTCACGCCATTACAAATAAAGTAACGGGAATATAAATAAAGAGTTTATGTTTTCTTTTTAAATTTTAATTACTGTTTTTTAATAAAAATTATATCGAAATATAAAAGATATTCGAAGAAATTAAATAAGAATCATAAATTATAAACGAGTAATATGTAATAAATATTTTCTTACCTGCTTAAAAATCCATTAGCAAAAAATAAAGGAGTTTATTATAAACTCGATATTGGTATCGAGTATCAGTTTCATATCTCGTATGTTATCGTCAGGAATGAAATGTTCTACGGCGAAAAAATCTTATATTGCTCGTAGCTACTAGACATTAACTAATTTTATATTTACATATACAAGGTTCAATAATAAAATACCGGCTTTGAGCTTAAGCGAGAAATTATCGCTCGGTGTATTAAAACCATATAATATAGGCTGGTACGACAGGATTTTAGTCGTCTACGTCAACGATAAAACAAGCAGGTGATATTTATCTCGGCAGTCAGTCTAATGATCTAATTAATTGACTTGATATCCGAGACACTACCGTGTCTCCCGACACTATCGTGAGAATTTCCTGTCGTGCGCATTACTTTCAAGATCAATGCAAACATTTTTTAGAATTATCGTTCTTATTCGATTCCTCGGTAAGATAGTGAAATATACACGGCAAGAATGATTCTGCTGAAATGTTTAAAAATTTAGCTTGATATAGATTTTCAAATAATTTTGTTAAACTCAAAAAAATATAAGTTTAATATAATTAAGTTTTTAGATACTCTTTAGCAC